TGTAAAATAGTTTTTTTATATGTTGCACACCGGGTGAAAAGTCAGTCGTGTAACATCGACGGTCGCTCCTGTAAGGTAAATCATTAGATAAGGTACGTACGTACGTACGTACTTATCCCCGTTACGCTCCGGGCAAAAGTTTAAAGTTAATGGCTACTATTTCATTGGTTTATTTTATATTTTAAATTAAAAGGAGCAGCTAAATTTTTAAGGCCGATAATTATTACATAATTGATCATTATACTTGATGTGGTGCTTGGGAAATGCTTGTAAATCAAACCGGTATTCGATAAAACATCAATTCAAAAAAAGTTGTTGAGTTACCCCTTGTGCATAGATTCAAATTCCATGAAACTAATTCATCTGTACAAATTCAGAAACGTTATCACCGTGGTAGCAATATAAATAGGTTGGCAAAATTCTTACATCAATACAATAATATGGCGAAAATTCTAGATGGAAAGGCTATCGCAAAGTAAATGTAATGAATATCATACATTATCTAATTGAATATAAATAATACTCAATATGAATTTTACTAAAACAACGTAGATCCATTCGAGAAAAAATTTCCGATGAAATTAATCAATTGAAAAGAAAATACCCTAGTTTTAAGCCTCGACTTGCAATTGTTCAGGTTGGAAATAGGGAAGATTCTGTAGCATATGTAAAACAGAAAGAACAAGCTGGCAAAGAAGTAATTTATAATTCACGTGATCGATGATCGTCGTTCGAAATCAATGAGTGATGTTTTTTTTTTTTAGGCTGGAATTGATTTTATTTTGCAAAAAAGGGACGAATCAATTACCCAGAATGAGGTGCTAGTTTATTCTATAGCACTCTAATTTTTTTCAACCTAATTGTTACGTACTAATGTAAAGTTTTCGCAAATAGCTTTTGAGATTAGTCCGTGAATTAAACCAAGATCCGTCGATTCATGGAGTGTTGGTTCAACTTCCTTTACCGGAACATATTGATGAAAAGTGTGTTGTTGAATCTATCGATCCAAAAAAAGATGTTGATGGGTAATCCAGTCCTACATCCTTTACTTACTTGTCTTTACATAGCATAGACTTTGATTTTATTGGTTAACTTTATTAAATCACTAGATTTCATGCATATAATATCGGAAGGCTGGTTAAAAGACGTGATGATCCTGCATTTTTACCATGTACTCCCAAAGGAATTATCGAATTATTGGATCAAACTGGTGTGAATTACACCATCTATAATGAAGTTATCATTGGTTTATTTTAACCATTGTGTCTCTTAACATTATGTTTCGACATTAGGAATTAATCTTTCAAGTAAGCGCGCCGTCGTGGTTGGTCGAAGTGATATTGTGGTAAAAATTGACTTTTTATATCACTATAATTTATATGATAATAGAATATTTCATAATTCTTTAAATAATTTGAATTTCAAGGGATTTCCCATATTTACACTATTAATGAAAAGAAATTCTACGGTTACATTGTGTCATTCCATGACCGCCAACCTTCCTGAGATTGTATGCATTTTTCTTTCGCATCAAAAGTTTTTAATTCTGTTTTATTATAATTGACAATGATCAAAATTTTTAATCTTTAGGTTAAAACAGCTGAAATCCTAGTGGTGGCTATTGGAAAAGCTGAATTCATAAAAGGCGATTGGATAAGTCCTGGCGCTGTAGTCATCGATGTTGGAACTAACGCGATAAAAGGTATTTAAAATGGTTGTTTTCTAAAATTACGGATTTATTGACTTATTATTTATCTGTTTTATTAGATCCAAAAAAAAAATCAGGCTTTCGATGGGTAGGCGATGTAGAATTTTCATCCGCCTCTGCAGTAGCATCATATATAACGCCAGTTCCTGGTGGTGTAGGTCCGATGACAGTTGCAATGTTATTACAAAACACTGTGGAAAGTGCCAAAAGGTTTCTAAAAGAAAGTAACGAACGCAAGATATCTACATTGGCTTTGGAACGACTTGTACCTGTCCCAAGCGATATTGATATTGCAACTTCACAAACACCTAAACTTATTAAAGAACTGGCTGAGGAATTAGGGCTGGCCCCAAATGAAGTAAGACTTTTAATATGATGAAAATTAATTCGTAGTGTAATTTATGCATTAAATTTTTTTTTTTTTTTAGTTTGAATTATATGGACAATACAAAGCCAAAGTAAATCTTTCAGTCATTGAAAGATTGAAATCGCGAAAAAATGGAAAATATGTAGTTGTGACAGGGTGTGTTTGAAATTACAAGTTATCCCATTTTTATAAAGTTTTGGCTGTTAATGTCATTCATTATCTACTTTATTAAAACTTATTTATAGCATAACGCCAACACCATTAGGTGAAGGAAAATCTACAACCACCGTTGGTATAGCACAAGCATTGGGTGCTCATTTAGGAAAGCTTTCATTTGCATGTGTTAGGCAACCTTCACAAGGACCGACATTCGGCATCAAAGGAGGAGCCGCGGGTGGTGGATATTCTCAAGTCATACCAATGGACGAATTCAATTTACATTTAACAGGAGATATACATGCTGTTACCGCGGCAAACAATCTATTGGGTAATTCTATTCTTATATTATCCATTGTTGAAGTTTACAACTAAATTAATAAAGAATTCGAATTCTTTTTCTTAGCTGCTGCGATTGATGCACGAATGTTTCATGAAAATACTCAGAAAGATAAGGTAATATAAGGAATAATTTACATGTTGAATTTAACAATTTACCTTTTTATTTTAATTTCATTATTTAGGCTCTTTTCAATCGCTTATGCCCTGCTAAAAACGGTGTTCGTGTCTTTGCCCCTGTGATGTTGAAACGATTACAAAAGCTTGGAATTAATAAGACCAATCCCAACGATTTAACTCCTGAAGAGATTAACAAATTTGTTAGGCTAGACATTGATCCAGATACTATCACATGGTTGGTTATATAAATTTTTGTATATATGTTAATATTTATATTAATTGGATATTCAAATATATATATATATATATATATATATATATATAGGCAAAGAGTAATTGACACAAATGATCGATTCTTACGACGCATTACTATAGGACAAAATCCAACAGAGAAAGGTCAAACACGATCAACAGGTTTTGACATTTCGGTGGCCTCTGAATGTATGGCGGTACTTGCATTAAGTACGTCACTTGATGACTTGCGGGAAAGATTAGGTAGAATGGTAGTTGCTACAAATAAAGCTGGTGATTCTTCTATAACAGCAGATGATCTTGGTATAGGAGGTGCATTAACAGTATTAATGAAGGATGCAATCAAACCAAACCTTATGCAGACATTAGAAGGAACACCTGTGTTTGTTCATGCTGGACCATTTGCAAATATTGCTCATGGAAATAGTTCTATATTAGCAGATAAGATTGGATTGAAATTGGTGGGAGTTGAGTGTGATGCAGAAGGAAATCCAGTTGAAGGAAGTGAAGAAGGTTATGTGATAACAGAAGCAGGATTTGGTGCCGATATTGGAATGGAAAAGTTCTTTAATATCAAATGCAGGCTATCAGGGTTGGTACCTGATTGTGTTGTTATAGTTTCTACAGTTAGAGCTTTGAAAATGCATGGTGGTGGACCTGAAGTAAGTAATCTAAATACATATTTTGTTTAGAAGAAATATAGTAAACTTTTATATGTAGGTTACGCCCGGAAATCCATTACACGAAGCTTATTTAAGTGAAAATCTTGAATTATTGGAAAAAGGATGTATTAACCTTGTTAAGCACATTCAAAATGCAAGAAAATATGGCTTACCAGTTGTAGTTGCTATTAATACATTCACGTGAGTCAATTATTATAATTCAACACCTTAATTAAAATAACTTTACAATTTTTTAATCATTATCACGGTGGAAACAGATCTGATACACAGGCTGAACATGAATTAATTCGTAAGGTTGCAATAGAGGCAGGTGCAAGTGACGCGGTACCATCGGCACATTGGGAATTAGGAGGAGAGGGCGCAATAGAATTGGGGAAAGCGATCATTAAAGCGACAACTAATAAAGAGGAGAAACGAGAATTCAGGTTTTTATATGACGTAAACAAACCAATTGTCGAAAAAATTGAGATTATTACAAAAGAAATGTATGGAGCTGATGGAATAGAGTTGAGTGAGAAAGCTATTGAGAAAGTTGAAAGATATACTAAACAGGTAACCAGTTCTAATAAGAAATTAAATAAATTAAATGGACTCACTGAGAAGATGGTTAATTCCTAACTTAACACTATTATATTTTATTTTTAATTAAGGGATTTGCAAATTTACCAATATGCATGGCCAAAACGCATTTATCCCTTTCACATGATCCAACACTTAAAGGCGTGCCTACAGGATTTACAGTACCAGTACGAGACATTCGAGCATCAGTTGGAGCAGGATTTTTATATCCATTGTTAGGGGAAATGCAAACTATGCCCGGATTATCTACTGTGAGTAATTAATATATCGAAAATTGTAACCATTTTAATATGAATAATATTAATTTTTTAACTTATAAACTTAATAGCGTCCGTGTTTCTTTGATGTTGATTTGGATACAAAAACTGGAAAAATACATGGACTATTTTAATATATTGATTGTATTATGCATCCATAATTCTTATGGGATTGATATTATTAAATTAGGGATGTCGACAATGCTTATAGCTTAATTCGATAGAATATCAATTAGCTATATTATAGGTTTACACTGTTTATATTTAATATCAACTGATAAACTTTATATATTTGCAATAAAAACAATTAAACTAAGAAGCTATAATATTTTTAATTAATATATATTAGCATTTAATTGTTTTTTTTAAAAAAAATTAATTTGGCATCTATTACTATCGATCTCAATTCTAAAACTTTGATAATATTTGATACTTCAGATCTATATTTTCACAAACTTTGCTTTCTAATGGCCGAGTAATTTGCATTTGAAATGAAATTTTTGTGTCATTTTAAAGTCATTTGAATTTTAGAAGGCTTAATGTTTAATTTATTTATGAAGTTTATTATATTATCAGCTATATGAAATATTATTAGTTACCTTAATAGAAAAATTTTGCTTATTTGATCATTTGTCCATTAAAAGTCATTTTGAGAACATTGATCTAGTTTGTGGATTAGATTTCGAAATTTGATTTCGAGAAATGATTTCGAACTAAAAAGAGAGTAAAATCGCTAGCTTAGATAAAATTTTTAAATAGACTTAATTTTATTCGTTGACGCATGTCACGTGTATTTCGGCACTGGTGAATGTTGAAATAAATTTGACAAAAGTATACAATTGCAAAGCAATTGGCCAACCAGAAGGAAGTTAGTCTATATCTACTGTAGCGCAGATCACATGGACTGTACTTTTGGGACATCCCAATAGAGTCGAATTATCTCGCGCATAATTACTTAATATAGTAGTACGTGAGAACGCGTCTCATACCGGAATCTTCGGCATTGTAAAGAAATCAAGCTTTTTTACAAACTATTCTTCGTTCCGATCTTAAAAAAAAAAATTATGGCAAGAAATGCTCAAATCTCTAGACAGCCCAAACGTAAATTGGCAACAGCAAAAAAGTCGCCTAGACGTAGTAATGTATCAACTTCAAGTAGTGGTCCTTCTTCAACGAGAAGATCCAGACGTAAGTTTGATTCTTAAATAATGGTCTCACTGATTAAATTTTGATTTTTAACAAAACATCAACTCATTTGTTGAATTACTGAAGCTGGCGACCCAGTGGCACCAGCAAAACCTAGGAGGTATCGGCCTGGAACAGTGGCTTTGCGCGAAATTCGACAGTATCAAAAGTCTACCAATCTCCTTTTGAGAAAATTACCATTTTCACGCGTGGTTTGTACAAAAATTCGATTTTGCTATTGTTGAATCGGATTTTTTTTTTTTTTTTTTTACCATATTAATACATATTATTTTAGGTTAGAGAAATTGCCATAGAGATTATGGAACCAGATGCGAATGTAGGTTATCGATGGCAGTCATCCGCAATCTTGGCCCTTCAAGAAGGTAACCTAAGTTATTTGCTGAATCAATACTTTTTGATCATCTTTTACCTTTTTTTTATTATTATTATTATTTATTTAGCCTGTGAGGCGTACCTCGTACATTTATTTGAAGATGCGTATGTATATTAATCATTCTAATTGAATTATTTATACAAAATCAAAAATTTTACTTGAGCTTTCAAAATATAGCAATTTATGTGCAATTCACGCTAAACGCGTCACAATTATGCAAAAGGACATCCAACTTGCCCGAAGAATTCGTGGCGTCTGGGGAGGTCTTGGTTAAGGCTGCGACCCAAACCTTTTTTTGACTTACAGTGTTACTGCATAATTTGGGTTTGGGAATCGGGATTTCTACAAAACCCAAGTATGTGTCCCATTTTTTCGATCAGTAATGTCAAACTCAGAATCAATTAAATTTATTAAATGCGTAATAATAGATATGGTGCCCGCAGCTTTAAATCTCCATAAAAAATGGCTTTACAAAAAATGCTACTCCTCTTTTAAAAATTTTTAAAATGCAAAAATAAACCACAAAATTTGTTCTTCTTGTCTTTAAGAACAAAACTTGTGGTTTAAATATAAATTTAAACTGATGGTGTAGTAGCCTTTCAAAGGTTGCCTATTTTATTATTTTAGAACACGCTCGTAATTTAGGTTGAATGGTAGTCTATTTCGATTTATTCCGGTAAGATCATATATGATACAGTCGACTCTGAAATGCATATTCTGGACCTTTTTGTTCGGTATAGAGTAGGTTCGTTATATAAATTCTCTCTATACCGAACTGTTCGATATATAAAGCCAATAAAATCTCTCGATCCAAAATTTCTTCGGAAAATTTACTCGAAATTTTGTCTCACCCTTGCTCGTCTTTTACGTTCGTTCATTTTCTCAGTACTTCATAGACATACATATCTGCGAAATCATACAATAATTCGTTATATCGAAATATGTATACATAGTCTTGGGCTGGTAAAGATGAGTTCGGATACGTTATATAAATATTTACTGTTTAAGTTCGGTATAGCCAGTTATAAAAAATCCATTCTGCCCCGGTTCGCTATAGCCCGATTTCGGTATAAACAGGTTCGGTATATCAAAATCTCGCATTCTAGAGTTTGTCACCTGATTAGCGGGAAGTGAACAAAGTCACGTGATTGGAGACCTATGTAATTCGCGAAATCTATGGACAGTTCTTAGGGACAGTGCGAGATCATGTGATATTTCGAAAGATATAGATCACGTGTTTTCATACGATTTATATATTTAATATAATATAAAGATCCGATATAAAAAAATGTAATAAAATATCTGATTATGAATCACGGTAATTTATTTTTGAATAAGACATACACCAAGTTTTAAACATTAATTACACAGATTGATTTTAACGATAGAGATATCAACTTAGAATGGAAAAATTAAATGATTCAAGAATCGTGATCAGCATCCAGAAACTGAATATCATTCTTGTAATTTTGAAACCTGCAGTATTACCAATACATACATTAAAACTAACATTACCAAAAAGCGATTAATTATAATATAGTCGCAAAATCTGTTAATTGTGTTTATTATTAGACTGTAGAAGAAATTAAGGAAAGCAGTTAGTTTGGTTTCATAAATAAAGGACATATTAAGACCTACTAGTTTGCTTATGAATATTCCCAAGGTTTTATATTCAATGGTGCCTAGCTATAAAAAAAAAATCAATTGTATAAAAGGATAGAATTCGTAAAAATTATAAATAAAAAAATCAAATCGCCACTAGTAATATTGTGTTTGAATAAACTACTTCGTGC